GGGTGGGTTTCTTTCTTCAGGAATGTGGTTATACGCGATTGAATAAAACTTAGACGACCTTTAGAAATTTTTTATACAAGGAAACAAAGCGATCTTTAGAAATGATTGGCGACTACAACATGCTTTTCCTGACTCAATTTTCTATGCCCCTCCCTTAGAATATCTGCATATCTGCATTTTTTATTGTTAGTTTTCTTAGGTCCTGCAATTTTCTTTTGCGAGTTCGTCTTATCAGAACGGTTCTTATTGTCTGGTTTTAGTTGTCAGGATGCAGAAGTTCCCTGGTATCTGATTCTCATGGCAATTTTCTTCACGCTGCTCAAATTGCTGTTAGAGTAAATGTAGAATTATGGAGAATAATCCGAATAATGACTTTGAGGTACGACTTGAATCGTTTCCTTAAAGTGTTATTTGCCCCCACTCGAATGAGTTTGCTAATTGGCAAATCACTTCCAGGATACAACAAAGTATGGAATATTCGATTAGCAAAACCGAATTATATTCCCTTAGAAATAACTAAAAAGAAATTGTATGAATGTGATGTTGAGAGAAAAGAGAACAAAGAAATTATGTAGATAACTAATTTCTGAATAATGAATCTCTTATACTAATATTACCAATATATATAGAGAGAATTGCACCTTTAGACATATCCTTTGGTTTTGGGTGTATCCTCTCATCATGAGATACAAGTGAACATTGCAGCAATGTTTGTCTGATGCAAAAATGCATTCGGTTACATCACACCTTTTCGCCAAAACACAGAAAGGTGCAGCGTTTATTAACAAAGGGTGTGATTGTTGGGTCAATGACCCAATCCCATCATCTGTCAAACATTGCTGGTGCACTGCACCAATATATATATATATATATATAATATAATAATAATAATTTATATCTTTATTATTGAAATCTCTAACAATCATTCCCAATTTCAATAATATATAATAAATGATATTACAATAATTCTCTCTTTATAATTATCACAAGCATACCGATATAATCATGCATACAATAAAGGTGTCTTTCGAATTAAACCTTTAATTAGTGTAAGTGATTCAAAGTTATAACGAATGCGATGGTGACCTAAGTTTAAACCACCTATTCTTATGTTAAAACCGGAATCACTACACACATGATTATATCTTATTTCCTTAAAGAAATTTCTGAACTAATTAAGCACTATTATGGCCTTGTGCTTCATCCTGGTTTCATAAACATTTGCAAGAGAAACCCAACTCTTGGTAGAAGCGGCACCACTTCTTATGTTCATATAGGTGAGGTTCCTTCCCATGTCTCTGCTACTATAGACATAACTACAAATAACCTCATTAAGAGATAAAACTCATCCTCCTAAACGTAGCAGTCTTGCACTGATCATCCTGGAATGGGCTATATATTAATTTTCGGTGCTTTCACAACCACTTAACAATAACTTGTTATTACCCATTAAACTTTTAAACTAGTGATGTTCTAGACAAAGTCAGGTTACCATTATTGGTGGCTAATTTTCAGTAAAGGGTTTTAGTCCCATTCCACTAGATGTACTAACTACCAAAGCTCTTGAAAGTGCTTTCGTTAACGGATCCGCCAAGTTATTACTTGATTTAACATAAACAATATTAATAACTCCATCAGTTATTAATTGCTTGACATATTCATGTCTCAAGCTAATATGTCTAGACTTTCCATTGTATACCTTATTGTATGCTCTAGACAAAGTAGCTTCACTATCACAGTATAAAGAAATGGATGGCATTGGTTGTGGCCACAACTCTATTTCCAATAACAAATTTCTAATCTATTCCGCTTCTTTACCTGCTGCTGCTAATGCTATAAATTCAGATTCCATAGTTGAATGTGCTATACATGTTTACTTCTTCGAAGCCCAAGAAATTGCTCATCCGACAATTGTAAAAATCCACCATATTTACGCTATTGGTCTTATTGGCATATTCCTCACTTGCTTTTCTGTGTCTACAATCACGAATGTAATGGTCTTTCTTTCCACAATGGTAATATACACCATTTGCATTCTTTTGATTGTTGTTGGAATTGGTCTTCTTAAACTTCCCTTTGTCAATTTTGACTTTGAAGTTCTTTTTATATTTGTTTCCTTCGACAATGTGAACTTTAGAGAAATCTTGATTTGCAAAATTCTTATCACGATTTCGAGTTTCCTCTTCAATTTGAATACCCTTTTGCAAATTCTCCAAACTAATATCTTCCACCATGTGTAGAAGTTTATTTCTATAGTTATTCCATGTTTGGGGTAATTTTGCCATAATAGCCCCAACTATCATAGGATCTGGAATAACTATTTTAAGTTCATGAAGCTTTGAGACCAAGACTAATAATTCATAAACTTGGTCTAGGATGGGTTTGTTATCAAACATAGTGAATTCATAATATTTGAACATTAACAATTTATCGGTACCTCTTTTTTCCGTTGTGTACTTGTGTTCAAGTGCTTCCCAAATTTCCTTTGGAGATTGAATGTGTGCATACAGGTCATATAAACGATCAGATAATGTGCCCAAGATGTGTCCTCGACATACCCATTCATCTTCTTCACGCTTCTTTCGATCGGCAACTATATTGTCCGAGTCTTTGTCACTTGGTTCACGAATAGACTCCAATTTCGGGTCCAACACATATATGACATTTAGAACAGTAAGCATGAAACGCATCTTGTCCTTCCATCGGGTGAAATTTGATCCATCAAATTTGTCTAACTTGTAGACATCTTGATTGATAATCTTCAAAGCCATGTTATCAGATTTGTTATCCATGATGAAAATAAAACTTTAAGATTGTTAGAGTAAATGTAGAATTATGGAGAATAATCCGAATAATGACTTTGAGGTACGACTTGAATCGTTTCCTTAAAGTGTTATTTTCCCCCACTCGAATGAGTTTGCTAAAGAGTTATTGGCAAATCACTTTCAGGATACAACAAAGTATGGAATATTCGATTAGCAAAACCGAATTATATTCCCTTAGAAATAACTAAAAAGAAATTGTATGAATGTGATGTTGAGAGAAAAGAGAACAAAGAAATTATGTAGATAACTAATTTCTGAATAATGAATCTCTTATACTAATATTACCAATATATATAGAGAGAATTGCACATTTAGACATATCCTTTGGTTTTGGGTGTATCCTCTCATCATGAGATACAACTGAACATTGCAGCAATGTTTGTCTGATGCAAAAATGCATTCGGTTACATCACACCTTTTCGCCAAAACACAGAAAGGTGCAGCGCTTATTAACAAAGGGTGTGATTGTTGGGTCAATGACCCAATCCCATCATCTGTCAAACATTGCTGGTGCACTGCACCAATATATATATATATATATATAATATATATAATATAATAATAATAATTTATATCTTTATTATTGAAATCTCTAACAATTGCCGGGTACACAAGACCCCGAAAGGCATTCAGAACGGCACCATCACAACATTCTGAAAGTGACGGTCTGTCTGAACTCTCAAGTTGAACCAAATAAGCTCTAGTTCATGCGTCCAAAACTGCACCAGGTATTTGTGAACATTTTCAGGTTTTCTTTTTTAAGTTTTCACACCGTTCATCAGATAGCCAGTAGCCTACCATGCAGAGTAGGTGTTCATATAAAAATTATAAATGTTCCTTACTTCCTCGTGTCTTTCTTTTGTTTTTGGTTTAGTTAGTAAAACGATTTGGCATCATACTCACCTTTCAGTTCATTGGATTTTCACATCACGGAGCAGTATGTTGTTGCTTGCTTTGCGTGACGATGCCATGGTTCTTGGGATGCCTTTGGTGGGCTTGATACTGCTGCGCATTTTGTCTGGTTAGGTAACAGTTTTTACTCGTTTTTCTTTCTACTTGTCTTGTTTGGTTGGGAGAGGAAGACGTGCAGGTGTCGAGATATTCTTCACGTTAGAGTTTACCACTCTTGCACCTTACATATGCAGCTGGCGTCAATTCCGCTCCTTAAGGAGTAATTTACGATAACAATGTTAGAAAAGTATCGATCGTTCATATGTTGTAGGGAGATAGGCTGCAGAAATTCTGGATCACTCAAATTGCCATTTTGATATTTGATAGGAAGGTTTTTTTCCTTCCTCGTTTGGATTCGTTTTGTAAACTCTATTGACAAGGACATGATTTCTTGAATGAATTTTTAGTAGTAATTATAGTGTATTATAGTACGAGTAAACGATATACTTAAGTGGATATTTATTAAGATAAATGCTAAAGTATAAGCGATGAGTTTACACGAGTTTATAGAATTTTCGTAATTGACAGATTTTTAACGAAATGATCATGCTTGTACCATACTTGACTAATTTTGAAACTACCAAGCACTGGTCAACTTCATACCTTTAAGGACCCACTAAAGAGTTCTTGCTAAAGCCTCAAACTTAAGGTGAACCACGAACATCATGTGTTTGCTTCCTTATATCTATCTCTTTAGTGAAGGTCACAAACTTGACATTTTACGTTGTTGCAAAGTCTCATTGATTTTGTGTATCAACCGACCAACAAATTCAGTAACCACTTATATCGATTTTCAATATCAAAAACTAGAGTGAAGAATTATGCTAATTTAAGTGCTCTTATGTTTTACAGTTGACCACAACGAACTTATCTCTATAATTCGCTAAATGAAAGCCACAACTGTACATAGGGTGGTGAAGGTTGGTTTGGCTGGACCCGGTTTGTTCTCGATTTTGCAATTTAAAACCAAATCGGACTAGTTATTCGAACCACCAAAACCTCACTCGTCTTCTTTATTTATGGTATTTCTTTGAGTTGGTTGATAAATTCATGTAGTGAAACTGAGTTTGAGGCTTTCAGCTTAAAGTCAAATGCGTCATGAGTGAGAAATCATTTTTAGTTGCGGTTACTTTGAATGATTGATTAAATTAAAATTTTAATATAATACCGAAATTGCACATATCTGGAGACCTGTGAAGCGGTGCGTTTTACCTGGAGAGGCAACGGTCCCAATCGCGGGGTGAACCGTTAACCAATTCCTTCCCCAATTCATTTCCTCCTTTCGTCGCTGCCCCCTTCTCTCTCTCTCTCTCTCTCTCTCTCTCTCATTTGTGGTCGAGTCACTCACTGAGTCACAGAGCGATTCCGCCATGAAAGAAGACCAAGACCAATACCGAGAAGCCGCTACCGGCGAAAAGCGGAAGCTGGAAGACAGCAGCGTCAGCATCCTACTGGCCAAGCAGAAAGCTCAGGAAATCGCCGCCCGACTTTTTAGCGACGCTGAGTCAAAGCGTCCTCGACTGGAGGAGGAGCATCCCTACCGCCAACCCAGCCCCGTCTACAACCCTCCTCCTTACCCTGGTACTACTTCTTTAACCCTATACTTTCTACTTTCTAGGGTTTTAGATTTTATTTTATTTTATATTTATTTTAACATTCTATTTTAATTAATCTATTATTATTATTATTTTCTTCCATTGTTAATTGAAAATTACAAAAATTGAAAGGAAGATAATTGTAATCCCTAGCTCAATATTTTTGGAGATTTTAGGATTGAATTAAGTGTGAATGTGGGTGAAAAGGAATACCACTAGACCGAAGTATTAAGTAGCAAGGTTGTTAAAACTTTAGGTTTAGGGAATTTCAGTGATAGTGAGTACTTAGGGTTCGGGCTTCGCACTACTTTCAGTTTTCCCTGTTATGACCCCAAAAGCTTAAGTAATTAACTACACTGTGTAAACACGAAAATGAAATTTTGATGTCTACACTCTGCTCCCTGACTGCTTGAGATTTCGAGGAGTATTGTTTCTTCTCGATAATTGGCCTTGGTTTCCACGAGTGCTCAATGCCCTCTTGTTGACTTAGGGACCGTTGTGCACGTATCCTAATTGTTGTACTATTCTGTGGAAGGAAATGCTTAAAGTTTTCATTTTTATATTCATATGACACAGTAGTTAAAAATAAGGTATCTGCCTATTTCTTGTAATTCATATACATGATACGGATCCTCTCCCGTTGCTTTTAGAAATTGTGGTGTTTATTTTTATACAATTATCCCTTTTTAAAGAAGTGCCTGAGACCTTTTCTGGTCTTCGCCTTTCTAACTAAAAAATTGGTTCAGTTTTTACTCCGCAATCAGGACAGTCTTATGGCTCTCCAAGCACAAGCAAGAAAATAACTATACCAAATGGGAAGGTACTTTGTTGGTTTCTTGCTGCTCGGAATTATTTCATGGCATAACACTGATGATTTTTCTATTTTTTTTTTTTTTTTTTTTTGGTAATTCTGCCTTTAGGTTGGGGTAATTATTGGAAAACAAGGAGAAACGATAAAAAGTCTACAACTTCAGTCAGGGGCCAAAATCCAGATAACCCGGGATTCAGAAGCTGATCCTACTTCTCTTACGAGGGATGTGGACTTGACCGGTACGCCTGAGCAGATCAGTAGGGCAGAACAACTTATCAGTGATGTCCTAGCAGAGGTAAAACCTGATGTTTATATTGGTTTTGCATTGATGTTCTTGATGTTTCATAAATCCAAAAGGTATCAGTCTCTAAAAAGACGTTCTGATATTTTTGATTTACAGGCAGATGCAGGGGTTCCATCTACAAATCAGGGATTCAACTCAATGCAACCTGGATCAGAACAGTTTATAATGAAAGTACCCACCAATAAGGTTAGATCATATAGTGGTTATTTTTCTATATTTGATGCACATGGTAATGTACTAATGTTCATATTTGCATTCATGATTGTCGTAGGTTGCTTTGATTATAGGCAAGGGAGGTGAGATGATCAGGACTATGCAAAGCAAGTCAGGAGCTCGTATTCAGGTGAGCACTTTCACTTTAAAGGAGGAGAGAGGGAAAGAGGGGTTGTTGGGGAGGGGGAGAAGTCATTGGAAGTGATATTAATATGGACTTCCACTTATACTATCTTACAAATCCATTGGCATTGGTCACATTTTATTTTCAAATTGAATTTATAACAACATTCTCAAAATAGTAAATGCAATTATGAAACTTGGTTCTTATTTGCATTCTTTACTGTGTTAAGGTCAATTTGATGTTTTCGAAAATTGAGGCTTTTTGGCCCCAATTCTAAAATTTGGTATGGGGCCCAAAATTGCTGGTTTTTTGGGTGTGAATAGATTTACTAGATTCCAGTACTCATTTCTCTTGTATAATTTTTCTATTCGAAACAATCCTGGAAATGATCATATGTTGTTTTAAATAAACTGAACCTCTTATTATTCGGGGACAAGGTCCATTAAAGAAAAGCACGAAAACCATAATAAGAAATATGTAAATATGTTCGTTTTTTATCCGTGCGCCCACACAGATAAGCTCTATAGAAAAATGGCTAAACCCAATGACATGAAGTATGCAATACAAAAATGTGGATTGTATGTTTACATAGTGATATTTTATACTCGAAAAGAAATACAAAATAGTTGAGTTCATTTACTCCGAATACATATTCTTTTCAAAACCCTTAATTTTTAGACTTACAGAGTACCTTATTTCCTAAGTTTTATCTTTAATTTTCATGAGATAATTAAATATAAAAAATATATAATTGTACTGTTATTATAGCCCATGTATGACCATGGTTGAACCTTTAACCTTTACCCTCTTTCTATTTTTGCTCAATGATTGGTCTAGCTTTTAGCATTGCTTCTTTTAGTTGTAGGTTTGTGTTTATGTTAAATGTTTATCTGCTATTTTTAATCCTAAAGTTGTCATATGACTTGGACCTTTCTGCATCATATTGGAGATTATGGTCTTCAGTAAAAACAGCGTAGGCATTTTTGCAGGATGGCTATCATCTCACACATGGAACAAGTCTCGAATGCTATTTCTCTCTTGTATTCTTATATCTTATCTCCATTATATTTAAGACGTAATTTTGTTTCAGGTGGTACCATTGCATCCTCCTCCTGGTGATATGTCAACTGAAAGATCAGTACATATAAATGGAACGGCAGAGCAAATTGAGGCAGCCAAAGAATTGGTCAATGAAGTAATCAGTGGGGTGAGTCATCAGTGCTTGTTGGTACCTCTTTCAGTATTCGATCTTTTTCCTTTCCTAAGTTCAATAAAAATTAAAATGCACAAACCTATAAAGAACTGGCATGTCTTTCTTTCCCAACAATTGGCCTTTTAATCTGATGAACAAAATCTTGTTCGGGTTAGCAAGGTCAGATTTCCATGAGTTGTATGGTCTTCATGAATCTTGATTTTATGCACTCTTGCCATGTTTGAAATGAGATTTGAATCTTTGTACTTAATCTAGCAACTTTTGCCAGTTTTATGGGAAAGAAGAAAAATAGGGTTTCATAAGAGATGGATAATTGCACAGCTTGTCAAATAGGTTTAGATGTGGTGAAAGATTGGCGACTAACTTATTGTGGTTATCATTGCGGGAGAACCCTAGAACTGATTTGTTTTGTGGTTCGAGTAATTGAGAGGTGATCATTTTTTTTGAAGGCATTCCTTCCTATTGTCCGTCTTGGTTTCAAATCCCAAAGAAAGTGATGGATAGAATTGAAATAATCACAAGTTTCCTTTGGGAGGGAATGGGGAAGGCAAAAAGGAACACTTGGTAATTCGATGATTTTTTCTCAAGCCATACATATATTTGGTTGGGCTACTCATCATATTTCCATCACTTTGTACTTTATTTTTTCACTAATTTTTGCTTATAATTTTTCTTTTATATACATGAACATATAATTGAATGTCAGATATCATGGCCTAAATTCGAACCTGGGTTTCTGGTCAACTTCTGCTCATACTGGCTTGTCTAGCCTTCGAAACATTCAGTTCCCATTACCTTTCTCATGATGTCCTTCCTCAATGCTAATCAAAATATTATCTTATTTCAACACATTGGTTTCACTTCTGCAGAAGCATATGGTAAACTCCTCTGGAACGAATAGTTATGTCCAGCAGTCTTTCCCCCCTGGTAGTTGGGCCCCACCAGGACAACAACAGCAACCGCATTATGGGTACGCACAACCAGGAAGTTATGCACCTCCTGCTTCATACTACGGCAACTATCCTACACAGGTAGCAGGTTGGGATCAGTCAAACCAATTAGCCACCTCTCAACCACCTCAGGACGGTAGCGGATACAATTACTACGGACAACCACCTCAAAATCCTAGCTACAACTACAATCAGACACCTCCTGTTGCCAGCCATGGTTATGATCAGGGGTACGCTCAGCAGCCACCAAGTTATGGAGGCCAAGCTCCAATATCTGATTACCAGCAACAATATGCAACTTCAGGGTATGGACCACCTGCGGTGCCATCCATCGGGGATGCAACTGCTTCCCAAAGTACCCAGCCTTCAGCTGCTTATCAGGTTCCTTACAGCCAGCCAATGGCAAACCCTCAAGCTGGGTATTGGACTCATCCAGGCGGCACAGGCCACCAACCACATCCTGGTTATTACCAAGCAGGTTATGGACACGGTGAGCACCATCAGCCAGACCCTTCACATTATGCCCCAGCAGTGAATCCTCTTACAAACAACGGAGAGTCACAGCACCAGCAACAAGACCATTCACAGCTTCCAACCAATGGATACGAAGAGCCATCAGGTTACGAAGAGCCATCAGGTTATGGAGCTGAAAGAAGCGGTGACAAGAAATCAGATGGAGATGCGTTGGCCCCAGCAACAGAGACCGTTGGTTCTGAAAGCTGATACTATAGCTGGTTAAGGATGTCGTCACTTTTTCTAACTTGGAATGATTTTTGATAATTGCTCTCACATGCCATCTGTGTGGCTGCAGAACATTATATTTCTGGTCTTAAAAGGTAGGAATATCTTGACAGCCGTTTATTATGTTCGTATGTGAAGTTTTACGTTGAATCTAATTTCGTAATATTCTCAGTTCCGGAGGTCCAGTCCATGAAATATTTGTACCGGAGTGGCACTGTCTGAGCTATGAAAGTAAATTTTTTTGTTGTTTGTTAAAAACAAAACAATACAACAGATGAAGTGAAGCATGCCACTAAAAGGGAGAGACAGAAACACGGGCGGAGGGCGAGCCCTCCGTTGCTGCAAGACGTTGTACCAATTAAATTGCATAGACTATCTCTCCGCTGCTGTCGATGTCAATGTCGGGATCAGACTCGAGGTCCTCCTCCATGTTATCTATGTCCAGGCTGCCAGCAAGATACTGGTTGAGACCGTTGGCCCCGGCCGCAGGTATTGTAGCCTCGGCAATTATCTGCATAATCTCATCAAGGCTTTGCATGGGTTGATCCGGCTCTTCAAACTGGTTGTTCATGGTGTTTTCAACCATTAGATCTGCCGGAAGGTTCTTTAGAAACCATTCGTGGTTCCTAATCTCAGGGATGGTTATCCTCTGTTGCACACAAAAATAATCAATAAAAATTCAAACAGAACATTGTTCTTTAACCCCTAATCAGATATGGGGAAGCAAGCTAATGAAAGCACAACCAGTGAAGCTTAAAGAAATATAGTATTATGCACAAATGCCGCTTATCCGGCAATGCATTTATGGATTAAAGTATAATATGAAGGATGTCACGCACCTTCTCGGGCTCAGCTACGAAAATCCTTGATATTAGATGGCGGCACTCTGGAGATATATGAACATAGTCAGGAATAGAGTACTGGACATTTGTTATCCGCTGCACAAGAGGAAAAACCTTAGACTTAAATATCATAGCTACCAAGTTTCAGTAGAAAATACGGTTCAAAAAGTTACATGTATTGTCTTGCGGAAGTTTTTAGGCTCCCCAGGATCTTCAAATGGGTATGCACCCACCAACATGACGTATAAGGTCACCCCACAAGACCATACATCTGCAATCTGGAAACGTAGATCAAAACGGAGACTGTTAGCGTGATTGTGCAGCAATGTACAGTATTTATGCCACTAACAAAATATCATTGCACAATATAGAATCAGTTATGCAGGATCGAATTCCAACGCTGAAACTTCTTGGGAGTGGTGACTGGTGAGTAATCAATTTGCCAGCATGAAACTGTTTTATTTTTCGCTTCCCTGAAATTGCATTTGCTTCAGGTAGCAACTCCAAGAACCCTTCGAGAGTCCAGTTTGCAAGGTACCGAAAACAAGGATTAAAGGTCGTACCCAGTGCACAAGGCTCCCGCTTTACGCAGGGTCTGGGAGAGGTGAATGTCGGCTAGCCTTACCCCCATTTATGGAGAGGCTGCTCCCAAGTCTCGAACCCGAGACCTACTGCTCATGGGCGAAGGCACTTGCCATCGCACCGAAAACAAGGATTAAACAAACAAAAAAGGTTGGCAAATATCTAGATGTAAATTTCAGATACCCAAAGATTATAATTGTGGATTCAATACAATCTTTTCTGGCTCATCCGTGGATCAGGGTGTATTAGACTTCTGCCAGATGAACTCATATCTGACTCCGTGTATGAAATGGTGGACTTGTTTTGAGCTGCATGGGGTACTACCAGACTGGGAACTGATTACGGGTGTGGTTGGAGTACTCAAGAGTTTCGAGAGAGAAATGACACAGCTTTATATGCTCAAACTATAGAATGGGAGTATATACGGTTAGACAAAACAATTAAAAGTTAAGTTATATTCCAGACTGTCTTAAGCTTAGTTTATTATATGCAGATACGAATAAGAAAAACAGTGAAACGAATTAAATCAAAGTGGAACACATATAACCAATTAACCAACAAATTATCCTACCTGACCTTAAATAGATTGATCGATGTAGATGAAAAGTACTATTACCTTTCCATCATATTCTTTCTTGAGTAACACCTCAGGTGCAATATATGCAGGGGTGCCAACGGTCGATTTTGGTTGTGAATGCAGCACAGAGGACTCGAGAAAAGAGACCAAGCGTAATTAGATGGATATGATAAATATAGACAGTAAAACTGGCAATGAAAGATGGCTGACGCTTAACCATTATCACAAGAGTAAAGAGGCAGACAAATTGCTGTGCAATATCTACCAGTTAAAGAAAAACGTAGAACATGCATTTTCCAAACACATTTCTGTTTTGAGTTTAGAGATCTTTCATAATTTAGCGCCGGACTCCTGCAAAATGAAGGCCTCTGTGCATGTAAAGAGAGAGAGAGAGAGAGAGAGAGAGAGGGTGTAGTACCTTTGAGTAGCCAAAGTCACATATTTTTAAACGAGGAGCTGGACTTCCATCTAACAATGTGTTCTCCAACTTCAAGTCCCGGTGGCACACTTGCTTCATAAAGAAATACAAAAAAAAAAAAAAGCACTCAGAAATCTAGTAGTAGGTATAAAAGAATAAAATAAAGATAAACAATGTATTCACATACCATTGCATGACAGTAACTGACTCCTGATATAAGTTGCTGGAAGAAGAAACGCGCCTGCAAACACAAGTCTATTAGAAATAGGTAGCACTCGTTACTATAAACAAAATCAATGTGGCAGATTAGAATTTAGAACCTCATCCTCACTGAAACGCCCAGCGTTGCATATCCGCTCAAAGAGCTCTCCCCCAGATGCATATTCCATCACAATAGCTAGATGAGTCGGTGTTAATATTACCTAAAATCACATAGTAACGAAACTGAGTTCCATGGTGAAATTAATGTGTGTTTAGATGTTAATATTTAACAGACCTCTTTGAACCGGACAATGTTCGGATGCCTCAACGACCTGTGGTTTATAATTTCTCTTTGTACATTTTCATCTATCTGTTAGACAAAAGTATAGAAGTAGGGTAAATCAACAGTAGAAGGAGAATATTAATTGGAATTACCAAGCCCTACAACGGCCAATACAAACCATAACATGAAAGTAAAATCTTATCTTTGCATAAATGAAAAGATCTCAATCAGGTAATGTTTGCTGCTATATCACTATTTTTAAGATCAAATTCAAGATTCATTCACACTATGGATAAGAAGAACATAAAATAAAATTGTTATTAAGCGGTTTAGAAAAAAAATGCAAGCATACGATTGTTAAAACCCATCAAGCCAAAGTCTTTCTGCTTTTGATTCACTAATGAGAACCATTAGTCTGCAGTCCTCATATGGCATCAAAGACAACACGATCAAATTTTACGGTAAACCTCGTTAAGTCGGTAGAAAGAGTTGGAACTCAAAATTAGTCATTAATTCTTCACAAATTTCTTTCGAGTGGAGTGGCTTTATTATATATACAAGGTTAGAGAATATAAAACAATGCTGATTTTCTGGATTCTTTAAACATCTACCAATTGTCATGTTATCTAATCACACCACACTTGGGAGTTCAATTCATTCCAAAGACAGATTACAAACCAACAATCTGGGAAAATAGAGTAAACAAATGTATGTAAAAATTTCAATTTATCATGTCCCCGAAAGCTAAGTCCTCCCACTCAGCAGACAATCTCCATAACAAAAAGGTAAAATTCGCAGTTTAAAATTCACTGCTTATTCCTTTTCCTTGGTTTATTCAATAATTTAACAGACGGCGCGTGATTTTTTTCTTCCATCCTCCATTAAGTTGTCAAGTTCAGCTTTTCACCAAACACAGTCCTTAGCACTTGAATTTAAATCCAACTAAAAACAACTAGTTAAAAACACTTCAGGTACGAAAAGAATAGATAATCAACTTCGACAAACTCCCATTCGAAATGCACATAAAATCCAAAAACAATCAGAAGAGGAAACCAAACCAAACAATCAAGCATAAACTAAAAAACACATCAACCTTCACCTATAAACCAACTAATTTATAAAAAAAAAATGCCCAAGAAAGCAATCAACTCGTAAAATACAGAGAATTCTGAATTTGGAAGACGCCAACGCATCCCTTCACGCAACACGCAGAAAACACACTCTCATACACACACACACACACACACACACACACACACACACACACACATATATATATTATAAAAAGAAGAAGAGAAAAATTGAAAGACTAACCTTCTCACCTCTCTCTATGTATTTCACAGCAACAAGCTCACCAGTCTGCTTGTCCCTCATAAGCCGTGCAACCCCGAAATTTCCCGACCCAATATCCCGAACCAGCTCGTACCGATCGCTATCGTGCATGATCGGCATGTCCATGGCTGGCCCAACTGTGAGCACAGACCGATTCATATCTTTCCTTTCTCCCTCCCTCTATATACACCAACACCCTCTGAAAAACCCAAAAAACAAAAACCCAATTAAGTCCCTCCCTTGCTCTGTTTCTCTCTCTAATGTTAGAGAGAGAGATGGGAAGGGCAAAGCAGTGATCAAACCAACCAAAGGGGCGGTGGTTGAGGTCAGGTGGCAGTGCCTGGACCACTGGATTGATGGGAAAAGTTGGTGGGTGGAGAAAAAGACTGAGATGTGTTCGTCCCCGTGAAGCTCCCACCCAACTCAGAAATGGGGGTTTCTCTGATTTATGTCTAACAAATTTCTGGATGTTTTAGCACACTGATTGGTGTTGCAGAGGCGTTAGGATACAGCTCGTGAATCCAACTATCTACCCTTCTCGCTCTCCTCTCTCTGAGTCACTGTGTGTATTTCTTCCAGCTCTCTTTATGTTGTGTGTGAGAGAGAGATTGTTTTTGTATTTGGTGGTATTTATCCGATTCCTCTTTTCGGAAAAGTATTTTCTAATTTGTGATTTTTTACTTTTGATTTTATCCATTCCACTCCAGAGTCCAAGACTCCATAAGGAGACAGATCATATCTATATACTGTCTTAAATTCAGTGAACTTAGTGATGGGTGAAATTACTTGTTTTATACCTAACATCCTCCTTCTCTCCTGTCATTCAGTATTACGATCTGGTACTATTTATCTTTATTTGGAAATGAGAGGTCTTAGATTCGAATCTCGTGGATGGCGAATTTGATACCAAATTAGGTTGCCGATTGTGTGGCTTTACCGAACTCCCCCTTCCCTTAGTGTAAAAATATCGATGTACTAAAAAAAATCCTCCTAGTCTCCTAGGGTAGAGGGTTTTTTTTTTTTTTTTTTGTAAAAGTGGAAGATTTATTACCGAACCACACTAAAATTTACAACATTTACAACAATTGAGGTCCAATTACAAGAAAAGCCCAAAAGAAAAAATGGACCCCCAACACAAAGCCCAAACCAAAAGTTTTAGCCCAGAAACAAAAACCCCTATTTTCCTTACAACCGCCGCCGATGCATTGCCGCAAAACGTCCGTCCAACAGACGCCATAAATCCAACCAAACAATTCCACAAAAATGATGGACAGACGACCAAAAACCTTCACAAAGCACCATAGATGACATATTTGTAGCGAAACACAGGAAGCTGGTGAGAGAACTCATCAGCAACAGAGTCACCGAAGGCAACAAAGTCATCTAAGACAAATCCATAGAAGGTGGTGGTGTAAACACCCGAGCCGGAGCAAAACGCATATTTTGATCCATGAGATGTGGTGGTTAGATCACCTGCACCAGAGCTCTATGCATATTTCGAAAAAATCGCGACAAAATAGCTACAAATCCAAAATCAAATGGGTTTGAGGAAAGCCTAGGAGGTGGAGGATGGGAAAGATGGTGAAAATTAAAGCACATAAAGATTGCAAGGAGAACTAAACCAGAGAGCCACCGACCTAGGGCATGGCAAGGGCTCGTGGCGGAGGAGATGGAAGTCTGAAAAAGGCTCAGCACACAGGTTGAAAAGGCTTTCACGGGGTTGGAGAGAAAAACTCTCACAGAGGGAGCGAAGTTTCTCCCTTAATTCTCTTCGTCACTTTTGTGTCTTATTTCTAGTATTTTAATACGTGTTATTCAATTTAATTCTAAATTCAACTCTATTAAAAATTAATGAAAACTAACGAAAAGTCCAAAAAACATTTCCTTTTAACGAAAAGCCATTTGTAAATGTAAAGTAAATAGTACCAGGAAAAGGTATAAATGTGGTTTCGTTAAAAGTGAATAATACCGGAAGTGTTTTGTTAAAACTCCCATTAAATTATCGTAAAATTAATTAAAATTAAAAACTAAAAATTAAACACTTACAAAAAATTAACAGCAACCTCCCTAACAACCCTAACCTTGCAGCCACCAACCCCAACCTCCTCTACCATTCATGTTAGCTGCAATTGCTTATCGGTTGCAAATCTTTCTTTTGTCTCCTATCTCTCTCGTCGGCGAAGCCATATTGGGGTTTTTAGTTGTCACTTTGCATCGTTTCAGATCTCTGCCATTATCCTTGTTGTCGCCCCAACGCCAGTGGTATTCCCCTCCTCATCGGTGGGTACTCCCCTCTGAATTGTCGATCAATTCCATTCTTTAGTAAATTTGATTCGATGATGTATGTTAACCTGGATATGGTTTGTTAGTTTGAAGACAAAGGTAGGCATATGATGTTCAACGTCAGACCTGCTGTCGAGCAACGGTAATGGCTGCCGGTGAGGTGAGGTGGTTGTTAGGGCTGGGTTCGTGTTGGTAGGGACTTGGGACTTGGTAGTGTCATGTTCTCTCATCCATTGTATAATTTTTTTATTGTAACACAAAATGATAACTTGACACTGTTAATTCTTAAACTGTAAGACATGTGTCAAATAGATAGTAGGAGACATGGAATGGGACAAAAATTTTGGGACAACAAACCTACATCCAGTCTCCTAGGTACCAGATTGTCCACATGGGGATATTCTATATATACTAAAACTCAAACATCTGGTTACTGTTCTAGGCCATCGTGCATACCAAAATGCCCCTCAATTTGTTTGTTAAGCCATTTTTTTGCCATCTTTTCTACAGTAAAATGACTTCCTTGCCCTCCTAGCCACACATTTATCCTCTCCGGTTTCGATTTCTTTGGGTGCTTCTGTTCTCTCTTTCCATTAGATGTCGACACGTTGGTCTTCTGGAGCCTTCCATCATTTTCGATTCGTGTCTCACAAACGCTTTTCTTCCTCTCAATCCTCATGTTTTCTGGCTCTCCGATCTGGAGTTCTCTGTCTCTCTCTCTCTTTCACTTTCTTGCTAAGAACGACAAACTAGTCAAAATTTATGTAGATATTTTTTCTGGAAAAATAGAAACGATGCGTTGTTCTTCCTTCCTTCCTCATCCCCATCCATTGGACAACATCTCCTCCATTTCGACCTCTCCCTTGGAAACCCGTCGGAGATCTCTTTAGGGTTCTTTGTCATAATCTCTGGAGAAAGAAATTTGATTTTTTTTTGTTTTTAAGTTTTTGGTTTGTGGGTCTTTAATTTTTGACTTTCTGTGCAGGTAAAGAGGTTTCTTTGTCAAAACCTTTGGAGAAAGAAATTTATTTTTTTTTAATTTTAAGTTTTTGGTTTGTGGGTTTTTAATTTCTGACTTTCTATGCAGGTAAAGGAAGAACCCAGAAGATATATGTTTAGCTTGATTCCTCGGGTAAAACTCATCTTCTTCCTTGATTTTGATGGGTTTTAGTTTTGCATCAATTTTGATAAAAATTGTGAAATTTGGGATGTGAGTATTGATGGGGTCGATTTTTATGCTAGCCGATCACCTATGACAACTCACCGGAACCGAATGTCGCTGAGTTTCGTTTGTCAAAGACGATGGTGAATTTCGGGGTGCTATATATTTGGGGTATTTTAAAGTTTGTTGTTTTTGGGTAATTAAGTTGAAAAGAATTGTAATATTGTGGTTTATGTTTGGATCTTGCAGTTTTGGATAGATTGAAGTCTGCATATGGGTGAAACATGAAGGTACAGTGGCAACAACTGCAGAGGTAAGCTCTCTGATAAATCTTCTAATTCACTCTTTATTTCCACTGCTGACGATGCCGATCGAATTCAACTACAAAGCCTGCACCATCCCCTACAGATTTCCCTCCAACAATTCCCGAAAGCCCACTCCCACTAAGCTCTCTTGGACCGACCTCTTCTACAACTCCACCCCTCCTTCAAGTGATAATTGTAAAACCCCACCCCTAATTATAAAGATAATTTTGAGTTTTTATTTAAAAATTGTTTTTAAGGCCTTAATAGGTGTGCCCAGGGGGCCCACCTTGTTTTTGTGTCCTTGGTTTTTCCCTTTTTTTTTTTTTCTGATTTCTAACATACACACACACACACACATAATTCCCTCTCTCCTCTCCCTCACCTTTCTTGTAACTTTCTCTCTCTCTCTCATTTTCTCCCTCACCTCTATTCTCTGCACCGAAAGCCATAGACCACCACCATCCTAAACCTCCGTTTAAATAGTACCTCTAAACCCTCAAATTAAGCATATATGTGGCTTAGGAAATCGAATGGTGGTGTTGCATGTCCAGTTTGATGACGGAGTGGAGCTGAACAAAAAGCTTCATAGTTCTTGTCGAATCTAGGGAAGAGCTGAGCCTCATAATCCCTGCTTTGGATCGAGATTCCCCCTATAATGTTTCAGGTATCATCCTCAAGCCCTGAATGTTTGAGTCAACTTGAAATCTAAGGTCTACAACCCCTGTAATTTTCTGTTCTTCAACCTTAGCATCTGGCAGTTCCCTCCGGCGGAACTTCGACGAGTTCTAAAGCAAACCTATCCTAAACTAGGGAATTTCTCATCTAAGGTAATGTCTTGAAACCAGTATATGTCGAAGTTGAGTGAGAAACTTCTGGGTTTTAACTCTAGGGAACCTCTGCATAATTTTTCAGTTTTTCTAGTGAAGATGTCCAGCAAAGCTTCGTTGAATCCAAAGGGATTTGATTCGAATTCATCTATTTCCATATTCTGGTAAGTCATCTGAACCTTTGAGTGTGATTCTAGTGAAAAGTTGAGGTGAAATTCAAGGATTTAACCCCCTGAATTTTTCTGTGCACGAACTCAGGAAACCGGTGACATTCCCTGGTCTTTCCTGCGAATTTGTGATGGACTCGACTACCTGGTGCCCAAATATGTGTTTAGGTAAATCTTGTAATCCTTTCGTGTAAAACTGGATTTAAAATCTAGGTGAGATTGCATGTCCGGTTCCGACGATGAACTCCGGCGAGTTCGTGGGTGTGTGTTGTGCTGGGTGTGTGCGTGTATAGTGTGTGTGTGTGTTTGTGTGGGTGTGTACGTGTATGGTGAGTGCGTGTGAGTGTGTGTGGTGCACATGTGTATGTGTATGTTGTGTCATGTATGTGTGTGGGTGTGTGCATGTAATGTGTGTGTGTATGTGAGTGCATGTGTGCATGTGTGATGTGCATGCACATGTGTGTTGGCGTGTGTGTGTGTGTGTGGGTGTGTGCATGTAATGTGTATGCGTATGTGAGTGCATGTGTGCATGTGTGCTGTGCATGCACGTGTGTGTTGGCGTGTGTGTGTGTGTGTTGTGTGGGTTTGGGCTCAAGCCCAAACCACCCCTTTGTTCCTAAACTATCCAAACCCAAAACCCAAAAGGTCCTAACCCTATTTAACCTAAACCTAAACCCTAATCCCAATCCAAACCCAAGACCCATTTCCATTTCTTGAAATTCTATAGTTGGGTAGTTTAAATTGTACATTTTTGTGCTTAGGTGAAGTTGCTAGTGGGGATTTCCTTAATTCTTTTTCGCACAATTCTGCTGCTATGGAGTATCTGTGAGTGGACCCCCTTCTAAAATTTACATGATTTCATAGTTTAATTGCATAAATGAATAACATGCCTTACGAGTTTATGAACTGATTTTATGTTAAGCATGTTTATGGAATATATTGTTTATCGTCTCGTTTTTGGTGAGGAATTAATTAGTAGCCTATATTGAGCTATAGTTTGATATATCGTATTTTCTATAAAAATCATGAACTGGTAGACTATCTGATGGATGACGATAGGATGCTAGAACATGTTTTAGAAACCCCTCTTTATAGTATAGACGATGGATGACTTTATACTATGAAGTGGTTATTTAGGAGAGGCGCAACTATTTGTGCGTACCTAGTGGACACTATGCCGCCTGGGGCGAGGATCTGGTGTTGGCAGATAGCCTGGGAGAAATAATCCTTAGCTACAGGCTGAGGGACACGGAGTAGGCATTGGGTCGGGAGTTGGTAATCTCTGGCTATGGGCGCAGAGACCACGGTGCTGGCACAGGGCCGAAAGTTATATTTATTTAGTGATCTTACTGGCAGCACACCGTGCTTACGAGACGATCTGTGAGACGATTGATATTTTGTTTTCCGCGATATGTCTTTTGAGATGTTTTTGGCATGCTAGGGTTTTCAGTAAACCCATCACTTAATATGCTAGTATTTTTCTTTATATAAACCTGGGAGTTAGTATGTTGATAATTGTTTTTATATATATATCAACTTGGTCCACTCATGTTTGTTTTGCGCTCCCTTCAGGACATAGAATCGAGGCATACAATCTCGGCATCCAGGCATTTCAGCATCGGCATCTTCGAATCCTCTCGATTTAGGACCCACTCCTTTGTTCAACCAATTTTTATATTAATTCTTTTAGTGTTTTGATTAGATATGTGCTCTGAACATGTTCCTTAAATGCATCTTCTTTATTCTTTTACATTTATAAACCTTATCTATTCCTTGTTCTCAGCATTTGCATTCAATAAATGACTTTCGTCACCTTCAGGTGTCGGCTAGTATGTGCTTATCCTGATATTCAGGGAATATCGGGATCGAGGCGTGTCAATAATCCTCATCCTTTCCCCAACCTTCATCATAAACCTTAATTTATTGGGTTTTTCGTTAATAAGTTTGATTGGTTTTCGGCAGGAAACGAGCTGAGTTTGACGCATCGGTTCCCGACGCTCCGACCAGACCTGAGAAATTTGCTCAAAGGTAACATTTTATTGATTGTTTTGCGATGAGTGAATTGGGTTTTCAGAAATGCTCGCAATTTGTTTGTGTTTTTGCCTGAAAGGTACACTGAGATACTGGACGACTTGAATAAGGATCTTGAGAGTCACGGTGGCCCGCCGGATTGCATTGTAAGCTTGAAATTTTGATTTGAGTTGATTTCTCACTTTCTATTATGTTGTAGTCATGATTTATTGCCGCATTGTTTTCTTAGAATTTAAGTTTTTTTTTTCCTGCTTTGTTTGGGTAATCCAGCTTCTTTGCAGACTTCGGGAGCAAGTTCTTAGAGAGTTGGGATTCCAAGATATATTCAAGAAAGTCAAGGTGGGTACTTTTTATAGTTATTGGACTCTTTATTAGTCCATTGATGTAGATAATTGATTGACTTGGAGTTCGGAATTGTGATCATGATTAAACTCTTCAGGATGAAGAGAATGCCAAGGCAATGTCCCTGTTTGAGAATGTAGTGGATCTTAATGAGATCTTAATGATGCTATTCAAGATGAAGTCAAGTGGGTAGATAATATGATTAGAGGAATTTTGCCGGAAATATAATTTGTATCAAACTAGCCATTTCATAAGACTCAACCTCAGAGCTGTATGAAAAAGAACACAATTGTACGATACCATTTTATTCATGTTTGATTACATTAGTTATTATTACTAATAGTTACATTTTGTGCATATTGTAGCTTTCATTTTAGGGAACTTATGGGATTTGTTCTATTATTTGTTTATATCATTAAACTTTCCTCTACTTTCCCTTTTTTATTTTGTCATTAGTTAAATTTGCGGGTGGGGAGAATCGAACTTGAGTGAGGTGGGAGTTTTCTTGGCTCTAGTGCCACTGCAACTAGGCCCCCATCCTCTCTACTTTCCCTTTATTATAGGGTTTTATTGAAAACAAACTTATACATGCCAACGTAAAAGGAGAGAGGAGGCAAAGGCTGACATTGTTGATAACGTGAGTAAATTTGTAAATAGGATTTCTAATAGTTTGCAAAATATTCACAAAATTGGCCTCCAAAGATTCTGTGCAAATTTCATTTTTCTGATTTTGGGAATTTTATTTCCAGGCTAGAATGCCTTCGTTTTCTGAAGCACTCAAGGTGAGAAATTTAAACTTTTGGTGGATTTGGAGTTTTGACTAAGTTTGATCACATTGTTTCAATAGAATATGACATTGATTAAATTGGAGTTGCAGCTAAGTTCCATTGTGTTCTCGGATGAGTTGGTTTTTTCTAAGTTTCGGATAAAGAATTATTCCCATTTGGGTATATATACATTCAACTCCAAACATTATATAACCGAAGGTATGCAAGAATCAATGTTGATTTAAATAGATAACATTATGTATGTATTAAAAAATATTTGACACCAGAGTAAACCTATTTAACTATTGACTTATCAGTTTTGATTCATTTTTCTCCCCTAAAAAAAATGCAAATTTAACTATGCAAGGTTAGGAATATTCACCTCTACTTGGGGTTTTTAGTTATGTGTTTTAATAGAATTATAGATTTGAGTAATTAGATATTTCAGTGCAGTTATTTTTTTAACAATTTATGATCCTATTTGTAAAAGTTGGTCAGGTATTTTTTTAACAACTATAATATTATTTAATTCCAATTCATAATTACTTCTTTTGTTAATCTGTTAGTAAATTTTTGTACTTTATGTCCAAATACATATATAGTAATGTATACATATAATTTAGAGGAAAACTAATGAAAAGGGCTTGAAAACTTTGAGTTTTAATGATAAGGACAAAATAAAGGGTAAAGTGAATAGTACCAGGATTGATTTTTTGTGTAAAAATGTGGTTTTTCGTTAAAGTGAACAGTACTGGGTGCTTTTCGTTAAAGTTCCCATAATTTATCAAGTTTTTTAATGTTGCTGATCATTTTGAGTGTGTTCATTTTGTGTGCAGAGAATGGAAAGTGCACTACTCACAAAGGCAAAACAAAGGATAGCTTCTACATTTTGCATCTAATTCAATTGTTTGCTTGCACAGGTTGAAGTCACTAGCTTTATAATGCTGGTGACCGAAATAAAATCCGAGTTTATGTTAAAATGATATCATAATTTTCGTTATGGTGAGAACAGAAAACTTAGACCCTTTTTTTATTTTTTTTATTTTTTATCTTTCCCATTTTTGAAATTTAGAAATTGAATTACTTTTCTATACATTTTTGTGATCATGCACTGAGAATTTGTTAATTGTATTAATATTATGAGGTAGGATTTATACTTTCTAGGATCCATTTCTCATGTTTAGAGATTGCTTGATTTAATTACATGTGATATAAGTTGATGTGTTTATACATGTAAAACATAATTTTTCACACAATTTTTAATCCCGCAGCAACGCGCGGGCAAAACTTTCTAGTAAGTTTCTATTTATTCCACACCTAGGGATAGTTTGAAATTGCTATGCTTTTAGAAAAAAAAAAAACTGCTTCTTCTTATTGTGAGAATAAACAATTGTGCAATTAAGCTATTAAGTTTTTGGTGAATTTTTTTGTAAAAGTGCTTTTAATAAAAGAAAAAAGCAGTCTCCGAATGTTTGATAAACCTTTATACAAAATTGTTGTGACTATGATAATTATAATATTGGATGTGATCTAATAATTTATTTTATTTTTTATTTACAATCTTTATCTTCTCTTTTATGTCAATCGTTGAGATTGATCAGTCGCTTCCCAACCATATTTTTGTTATCTCTCTTTTATTTTTAATCATTTGTCTTCTCTTTATTTGTCTTATCTCTCTTTTGCAAAACCCCATTATTTTCTTGTCTCTTTTTCTCCGCCGCCAACTTCCTTTCTCTTATCTCATTCTCCTCTCTCTTGGTGAAAAGCTTTTTTTATTATAAGACTGTAGTTGCTAAATATTAACTGGGGAATAAGATCCAAGGGATTGCTGGGAGGATGTGGGATGCTAGGACATTTTGGGACTCCTGGTGGAAAGATTTGCGGTTAATAATAAGTAATCCAATCTTCCTTGAGATTTCTAGTCATCTCGGTCGAAAAGGCTAGAAGAAAACCAGTAGTAGTAGTGGCAGATTTGCTTTATGCCACACCACGTGATGAGTCATACATACCCATTCCTTTTCATAGGGTTTCGTATAATCCCACACATGAGATCTTAAAGCTACAACAATCTTTTTCTTTGCCCACTCCCTTATCTCAACCACCACCACAACAATTAGATTGGAACTTGATGTGTGGAACCTTAGAATCGTCGCAATTTGATTCGGAATCTAGAGTTTGTCTGTGTTGGAAATCAGAGTTTCGCTGCATGGGAGGGGAGGTGAGGAGGAAAAAAAATGAGATTGAGCTCCCAGTTAACTTGCTGACAATCCTTGTCTTCAACAACTAGGCAGGTTGATGCTGAAGGGCCATATCATTCTACTGTTGGGTTCATGAAATTAACACCTAAAGCTGTCAATGTCATTTTCTGAATCAATTAGAGTCGTGATACTGGTTGATTGTTGGCTTGGCGTGTGGTAGCTACTATGTGGTCGGGTGGAGGACAGTTGTGTTTGATAAATTGATATAGTGGAAGGTAAAGATTGCCTTTTTGTGAAACATGTGAGGGTATAATTGCATTTTAGACTGTTTTATTAAATGTCACTATCACTCTGCCTCTTTGAATAAAAACGCTGTTTCTCTCAATTTCTACCAATTTCTAGTGTCATTGGTAGTAGTTTATTAGAAAAGCATTTTCTGTTTTACCAAACATATTTTGTTAATGCACAAAATCAGTGAGGACTTTGGTACAACAGAAAGTGTTAAGTTTGTGACCTTCGCTAGATTGCTCCGGTCACTGGTGTGGATAAGTATGTAAATGATAGAGACAGGGAAGCAAACACATGATGTACGTGGTACACCCAGATTGGCTACGTCCACGGAGTAGATGAGTTTTCATTAATTGTGAAGGGTGTACACAAGTACATAGGTTCAAGCTCTCCTTTAGTGAGTACTAGTGAATGATTTAGTACAAATGACATTAGGAAATATTGTGGGAGAATGATCTCTTTTAATAGAAGAGTTTCTAGCTTTGTTATGACATTGACACGTGTTATGCTGTGATTGGCTTCGGATGTCAACATGTGTCGCACTGTGATTGGCCTCTTGGTTGGAGGGAAACTCTTTTGGGTCCTTAACGGTATAACGTTGACTAGTGCCCAGTAGTTTCAGGATTGGTCAAGTATGGTATAAACAGTGCTCCCCTAAGTTCCCGAGTAAGGGAAGCTCCTCGGTTGGGGACTTGCAAGATCCAAGCCACTTAGTAATCACGAAATTTCTAAGTACTGAAGTGTGGTATCGTTTTCACTTGCCTTATCTATCTCATAGGTAGATGTGACATCTTCTCTGAAAGTACTTTTCCTCTATCCAGGGGTGGTATCCTTAACTGGTGGAGATGCACAAGGTAATGTATCAATTTCACTTGAAGCTTACTTGTAGTTTCAGGCTTGGTCAAGCGCGATACACACCATATAGTAGGAGTCCCCCAAGTCGCCAAGTTAGGAGATCTGCCGAAAGAGGTGATAGACAAGGTAAGTAAACAGAGCTCCTAGCAATCAGTCCTAGATCAGAATTTTGATTTCGAGTTCCAGCTGATTGTTCTCATTCTCCCTATCTTGCAGACATCAGGAAGGATAAAGAGAAGAAAAATGAGAAGATATGATATGAGATACTTTTGCTTTTGAAGAAGTAACTTTCCACATGCTTATTCTTGAACTAGGCTGTAAGGTTTTCTGGTTTCCTCCAGAGTATAAGGTCGACTTAAGAATTTGAGGGTAAAAACAAGTCCATCAAATCAAGAGTGCGCTCGACCTTGATGATATGAGATACTTTTGCTGTTGACAAAGTAATAGATGAATCGGCACGTGTTCTGTTGCGCTTGTCTCCACATGCTTCCTTGTATCATTCCCACTTGCCTATCTGTTCCTCAGGCAGATGTGGTATCTTTTCTGGAAGCATAAGATGTTAAAGATGAGTACTCGAGAGCAATGTTAGGTAAGTAATCAAACAAGGAGTTCTAGGTAGTCAGTTCCTGACTGGAAGCTTGATTCCAAGTGCTGACTGATTGCTCTCTTTCTCCTTTTCTTGCAGGTAAGAATAAGACCAAAGGAAAAGACAGGGAAAAAGCATGATATGAGATACTCTTACTTTTAACCCTGATGATATGAGATACTCTGGCTCTGGTGTGGCTTGTTTGCAGAGGTATTATCGAAGGGAAAATAAGCTGAGTATTTCGAGAGACTCTGCTGAGAGTGCCCTCTCGGATGTGAAGAAAAGTTGAGCATTTTTTTATTTGCAGGTTTGCCTGGCTATGGAGGATGAAGGTCGACATATATAGGAATTGTCCCAACAGCGAGTAGTAACGCTGTTCATTTACCCTTATTGGTCATAGCAATGTAGTGGGAGCTGCAAGATTCACGTGTTTTAACTTTGTCAGAGCACTTTGAAAAAATGGTCTGTGGTATCTGGAAAGCTGATGTTGCGTGTGAAGATTGCAGATAAGCTTTATCCAAGGAAATTTGGCTCTCAAAGTTCAGAGAGCGGTGCCTCTTTGATTTTCAAACAAGCAATCTTGTCGGTGACCTAGCTTTCGAGATTCGGAGAACGGTGCCTCTTCGA